CAGATAACAATGAACACTTTGTTCTAAATAAGAACTATCGGCGACTAAATAAGAGAATGCAATATACAGACCTTTGAATTTCTTGACTAGTCAGTCAAAGGGCTTGTTGGGGGTCCATTATGCAGAGCTTCCAATTGAAATGGCCCATAAAATTGTCAAGTGGAATTGTGTCTCCCTCTTACATGCACCCCCTCCCTGATCAATCACGCATTCAGGTGTCAACAATAACAGAGATGAAATTGTGAGTTTGTGGCTCTTGACGCACGTGCATTGACGTAGAAGACTGTTGAAAGCACAGGCACTTGGAACGTCTCAATAAAAATAAATATTCACACAATTTTTCACAATGATCGACCGCCTGTGTGAAAAATAGGTGAGCGTATGTGAAACATATACGGTTAGTACTTACTGTGTGACATATCCGTGACTAACTGACACCACTAAATTGGTAAAATGTTCCATGCACCTTAAGAAATGCTGAGAAATTACGAGGTTATCATCGCAGAACTCCCGAACACCGTACGTCACAAAGCTATATGTAAACAAACACGCGTGTTGCGAGGTGCCTGCCTCCGATATCCATTTCGAGGCTTGCTAAGCCAAGCATAAAGCGCGCGGGCAAGACGTCACACACACAGCTACGTTCATTGGCTAAAACAATCGAGTAGCGCGGTTAGGGATTTTCGGAATTATTTAATTTGAAGAAAAACTTCAATGTTCAATGAATGACGCACTCGTTCACTTCCGACAGCGACTGAAAATGCCGAAAATTTTCCACTTTGATGCGAAATGCATCGGCCGGGCATTTCATTATTTACGAAATGTAAACAGGCTGGCGAAAGACAGTAGGTACAATAACTGGTCACGTCGGTGACGCCCCATTCATGTCCATCAACGAAGAAGGCGGGGCTTATTCTGATTACGGAGATGCGAAAATTCCACAGAAGGACGTAGCGCAGTGCGCTAAACAGCCTGTTATTTTCATATTTGTGGCAGACTCTATCGTAGGAAACCGTTCTAGCATAGCAGTGTGCCTTAGTTCCTGAGATCGGCGATTTGGTGGTCCAATGGGTTCCCATATTTAAAAATATAAAAGACTGGTGTGGCATAGGCTGTGATTGGAAGACACAAAGTGTCAATCCTCGGCGCGCCTCGGCATCATGGCCGCATCACGGCAAGCAGAAACAGTTTACGTAATATCAGTAGTGCGCTGCACAAATATCTTGACAAAAGTGTCAAACTTCTAAATGTGTCTTATTTGCTCGACGATATTATCGTGAGTAAATTTGTAACGTATTATGTACATATAGTGTATATAATGTACATATTATGTACATATAGTGTAAGACACTGTGTACGTATTCTTTATACAACTTTTATGAACAAAACTCGCCTATTGATTTCGAATAAATTCGTGTGAACTTTTGCATGATCACCACGCGTATAACGTGTAAATTTGGTATCTCTATAGACATATGCGCTTGTAGTACGCGTGTAATGTGTGTATGTATACGTGTGTACGTATGTCGTTGGGCATCAGCAAGGCACAGCTAATTTTGCGCGCACACGTGGATTTAGGCCGGTTTGCACCGGTTTCCAGAAACCGGTCACAGGCTGGGTATCTTCAGAATTGACCCTCAAAATTCACCAGAATGCACCAAATATACCCTAATTCCCGAGGGGGCATGCCCCCGGACGCAGCTAGCTGTGACTAGAACTATATGGAAACTGGTCACCCAAACCCTCTGGATCCGCCCCTGCGCGCGCTATACGCGCTATAGAGATATACGCGCTATGCGCCCTTGCGCCTATGAGCCCTTGCTATATCTGTCTTGCGTTCAACGCTTGGACATTGTCAAGTTCCCGTCAGTGCCTTGCAAACTGTACGTTGCATACGTTCTTCTTGCATACGTGTCTGCGGTGCTATACGTATATCGTATATGGTAATCGGCAACGGAATTACTATGCCCCGAGTGTACACAGGTGTGAGCCACGCTATTATGGCATGAGTCAAGACGAGCCGCCAGTTTGTGCGTTCAGTATAGCTCTTATTGGACTGAAGACAGTCTTGCATGTTTCAAGAGTCACATATATCTCACATATATTTCACATATATATATGTGTATGTGTGTGTGTTTGCACGGAACCTTGCTCGCACGCACAGACCAGACAGACCGGTCGCTTCTCCGGCATGGATGCCATGCAATCAGTCCCCAACACCTAACGCGACCTCGCTCAGTTCTATCGACCAATTTGCGTGAAAAAAGAACCGGTTCGGTAATGTCTAATGAACTGCCGTCATGGCCCCGGTTCCAACGCCGCATAACGCTCATACTAAGGTAACTCAATGCGTGCACAGTATAGTTTATGCATGCGTTGTATCGTTTATACGCACATATCGATATCATGACCGATATCAATATCGCACCAATCGATATTGATATCATGACCGCTGGCTGTCGAGGCGTCGGATCCCCGCACGGATTTATACAAGACAATAGATGAACCGATAAGGACACAGTTAACCGACCATATATCGGTGCCGCGTGAGGAAATCCCACCTAGACCTCATAGTCTTGTTTATGGCTCATGCCGTTAACTGTTAGCACAGGACGCACTACGAATACGTCCATCACATATCATAGCACCGTGAACATATATCTATATGCAATGTATTGTGTAAAAGTGAATGAATGTGTTTATGATAGCACGTGGA